ATAATTTAAAGGAGTCACACAAATATATTTAAAACTAGCATGACACTTAGTAGAGAGCTGTACCTTTAAATTTTTCACTTCCTGTCCTAAAGCTAAAATCATTTCTTCTAAAGCGTTTAATCTCATATCTAATTTTTGATTTATGTTGTACTGCTCGGCTAAAGCAACAGAAACATTTTTGCTTAAATCATTAACAAAATGAGCTGTTTTTACTTCTTTAACTAATGCTACAGTAGATACTGTTAAGGAGGTAAGTATAGCAATAAGTGCACTAATACCTAAGATCAATGCTGCTACAAAGCGTTTAGGTCTCATAAGCTGATTCAAACCTTTTAATGTTTGTAATGCTGAGTTGTCAAACCACGGATGTTCTCCCAAATCAACCGGCAACATAACAAAACTCGGTCTTTTTAATAAAACTATTACTGAGTACTCTATATCCAGAGTGGGAGTCAAACAATTAGTTAACACACAGTTTGTGCATTTTACATGATAAGATTTTCCGTGATTATAAATGGTAAAATTTTCTGGTTTAGCAGCTAAAATTCCATAAGGATAATTTATACATGCTCTTACTCCAATAAATGTAGTTTTAGTTTCTTTAGGCTTCTTTAAGAGCAACATGATGGCAGCCGCGAAAAGGTGAAAAAGGCTAAAATAAATAGTAGTCTTATTGTCTGTAGGAGAGTGGCTAACTTAAATAGGTGCCACCCATCCAGGAGTGTACCATCCCCTAATTGGTTTTTTAATGTATTAGGAATATAAGAAATATAACCGTTAAACTTTTGCACATTATTTGTTAAATAAGAGGTATAATCATAATTTGGATTAGCAATGGAATAATCTAAAACATAATCAGGAGATTGTAGTGGGTAATGGATGGCCTCCTGTGTTGTCTTGGTCTGCAGATGAGAAGATCTGAGTTTCCCCGTCTTTCCAGTCATGTCTCTCAGCATCTTTCTGGTTTTAAGACTTTATTGTAGGGCCTGATGAACCTGTCAGGAATCCAGATGGGAGCTTCAGTGTCCTGTGGAAACACAAATGCATATCCTCTTCCCGAGGTTATTAGAATGTTAGGTCGTTTCCAGGATCCAGTTAATAAGTCTTTCCATAGCACTTGGGGCTGTTCTTGTGTTTGTATAGCACCCCAATGTTTCATCATTGGTGTCAGGTTTTCATCATTAGTATTTAAATGATTCAGAGTAAATACGGCATGTGTCAATAATTGATGAGGAGAAAAGTAAGTTTTGCTATTTTTTAATCTTTGAATCTGAAGTTTAAGATTTTGATGAGCTCTCTCAATAATAGCTTGCCCTTGGGGATTATAAGGTATTCCAGTAACATGTTCTATTCCCCATTCCTTACAGAATTTAGCAAATGCTTGGGATGTATAAGCAGAAGCGTTATCAGTTTTAATTTTTGGGGGGTAGGCGTAAGGCCACAAAACTATAGATTAAGTGTTGTATCACATCTTTCACTGCCTCTCCAGTCCTGGCAGAGGTGTCACTGCCTTTATTGAAATCTTTTAATTATCCTAGTATGCAGGAAGAGTTCTCAGGAACTCAATCAACATGGGATGACTTTTTAGGATCTAATGGGTTAAGGAATGACTTAAAAGCCCGATGGTCCACTACAAATAAGCAAAAAAATGTTATCAAATTCTTAAAAATGTAATATCAGGTACAGCTAATGTTGAAAGTACGTGATGGGTTAAGGTCATTCTGACCTGAAACCACAGAGCTGAGCGGAATCCCGAGTACGTGGGAAAGGCTGGCAGTGAAGGCCACGGTGAGGGTTTGCCGTATGGTGCCAGGTCGACGGGATGGGGAGGTGTGTTTTGGCTGTACATGATGGTTGGTAGGGTTGTTTTGCTTTTATCTCTGGAATTGTAAATCCTGGCATGGCTGTTCTGCAGTTTCTGTTGGGGAGATTTTGCAATCTTTGCTGTATATATCTCAAACCTTGCAGCTGCAAAAATTACACTCAGACTGTCACCAAGCTCTTGTGTGTCTGTCTGTCACTCGCCGAATCCTTGCCCACTCTCTCAAGGACCCTGTTCCCATCGGACTGAACTGCTCTGGTCTGGACTGGTCCATCGCAGATGGTGCCCGAACAGGGACCCTCGGAGGGTAAGCTATCTCTCCCCTTTTCTCTCTTTTTAATATTTTTCAGGCAAGGATAGGACCTCGTCAAGTGCTGTAGGCTCACTGGTAAAGGATCACCAGGTTAAGACGATGAGAAAGTAACAATCATGGGGCATTCTCAATCCGAGAACAGAGACTTGTTTCTCTCAATTTTGGGGCATATGCTGGAGGGTCAAGGGAGCAAGGTTTCTATAAAAGTATATTTAGATGCCTCACCAGCTGTGGTCCAAGGAATGGCCTATGCTGCAGCAATGAAGGGACAGCATTTTAGCGCCTATATTCAAAATCTTAAAAGCAGACCTCAGACCAATAACGAGGGGGTTTGTTTCTCATGTGGAAAGCCAGGTCACGTGAGTAAAGAATATCCTAGTAAAAATAAAAGGAACAATAATGGAGAGAGAAAACCTGGTAATAAGCGAGAACCTCCTGGGATCTGTCCTAGGTGCAAGAAAGGAAAACATTGGAAAAATGAATGTAAGTCTAAGTATCATAAAGATGGGACACCCCTAGAGAAAGAAAAAAAGGAGACAAAAAATGAGGAGGGGGCAAGCCCTCAGCCCCCTAAATGAAAGAGGGACCATTGAAGAAAATGGTAACTTGAGTTCCCCTAGTTCCACTTAAGTCCTTTGGCACAGCCATTTACTATTCATGATTTGCCCAGAACCACACAAGGAAGTGCCAGCCTGGACTTAAAAAGGACTATATTTAATCCCAGATGGACGGGATCCAACCATAGAAACTAATGTGTTTGGCCCTCTGCCTGTTGGCACTGTAGGACTCATATTAGGAAGAAGTTCTAATTATAAGAAAAGTTTTGAAGTAATACTTGGAGTCCTTGATTCGGACTCTTACAGAAGTGGTACAGATATATAAAAATCAGAGAGTGGCCCCTTTCAGAAAAAAAATTACAGGCTGTAGAACAATTAGTGTTAGAACAACTAAATAAGGGACATTTGGAAGAATCTAATAGTCCGTGAAATACTCCTATATTTGTTATAAGGAAGAAATCAGGGAAATGGAGACAGTTGCAAGATCTTAGAGCAATTAATGCTACCATACAGGATATGGGAGCCTTACAGCCAGGTTTCCCGTCCCTGGCAGCTATACCTGAGGGGCTCTTTATTATAATAATTGCCTGCAAGACTGTTTTTTCACTATTAAATTGAGTCCACAAGATTCTCAAAGGTTTGCTTTTAGTGTGCCTTCATATAACCAGGCAAAATAAATGTTTCATTGGTCATATAAGAGGACATACTAATTTGCCAGGTATGCTGTCTTTAGGTAACAAAATAGCAGACTTATTAACCAAAGAACAATTTATGAAAAATATTCTAAAAGTAGCTCAAAAAAGTCATCAATGTCATCATCAAAATGCTTTGGCTTTAAAAAGAATGTTTCATATTACCAGAGAGCAAGCTAGACAAATAGTAAAAAATTGTAATCACTGTCCTATAGCATATCATCTTTTAAAAATGGGAGTAAATCCAAGAGGATTAAAGCCTCAAATTTTATGGCAAATGGATGTTACCCACATCCCAAAATTTGGAAGATTAGCATTTGTTCATGTCATTGTAGATTATTTTGGCTGTTCAAAGTGAATCATCCAGGGAAGGCGTGGTAACCAGAGCAGCTCTTGGCTGTGATGGTGGAACATGAGGCTGCTTGCTCACATCGGAGTGTATCAGGAAGCAGAGGGTGGACAGGAAACAGTGCCAAACTATAAAACTTCAAGGCTCACCCTTAGAGATCTTCCTCCAGTGAGGTGCCACCTACTAAAGGTCTCATAAGCTCCCAAACAGTGCCAACTGCTGGGGAGCACGTGTTCAAACACATTGGTCTGTGGGCACATAACACCCAAATACCTAGGAAAATGGTAAAGCATAAAGCATTTCTGCAGTCTGAGAGGGGCTGCAGAGTTTTGGACACATTAAGGGCTTAACAGAGGCAGGAGTCACCACTGTGACTGCATTCATCTCCTCTGTTTGACCTCTGCAGAAGACAGATGGATAATTACTCATGGTATCACAAACATCCACTTATGGATGAATGTGTAAGAAAAATGTGGTGCATGAAATATTATGCAGCTTTAAGAAAAGAATTCTGTGGTAATTCACACCTTTAATACCTGCACTCGGGAGGCAGAGGCAAGAGACTGTCTCAAGAAGACAAAAATATCTGAAATATACTAAAAAGAGATGAACTCTGAAGACACGCTGAGTGAATTAAGCAGTATCACTTTGTATCAAGAACTTAGGGTTAGTGAGATGGCTCAGTGGGTAAGAGCCTGCAACCAAGCCTGAGGACTGGAGTTCAGTCTCTGAGACCCACATCCCACATGATGGGAAAACCTACTCTTGCCAGTTCTCTGAACACACATAGTGGCGTAAACACACACACACACACACACACACACACACACACAAACAAAATCCCTACAGTAGCCAGAAAGAATGGAGGCAAGGAGTTGGAGGAACGGAATGAGGAGGTGTTTAGTGGGTGCAGTTTCACTGTGATGAGCTAGAGATGGTTGCACGATTGTGCATGCAGTGAATGACACTGAACTGACAACCGCAGATGTTTAAAATGGGAGATTTTATGTCAGGCATATTTTACAAAACTGAAAACCAAGAGAAAAACAGAACCTCATGAATATGTCGCTACCTGTTCTAACATACGGAGCATACCCTTCCCTCTCTGAGAGTTCCCACTATCTTCTTCCAAGATGGATGCCAACGGCATGACTGCAAAAAGTACTCACATTACACATTTTATGAACCAAGCCAGCTAGACCCTTAACCAGTAAAACATTCTACATGGAAAATAAAGTTTATGATTCCTTTCACAAGAGGTTTACGCTTTTTTTTTTTTTTTTTTCAGTACTAGGGATTGAACTTAGGTTTTGCACATGGAAGGCAAGTCTCTATCACTTAACCTGCTTTTCATTTTTGAGAGTTGCCCAGGCTGGCCTTGAACTTGTGACCTCCTGCATCAGAGGGCCTGACTCTTCCAAGTAGTTGGGATTATGAGTACAGCACAGCACCAAGACCAGCCTATATGCTGACATGCACCTTTCTATCTGCCTTGTTCAACTGACAAACCAGGATTTTTAATACTAGCAAATGTGTATACACACCAGAAGGACACACAACACACACACACAGTAGTTAGACTTTACTTCCTTACTGAAGAAAGTCATTCTTTTGGTTAAAATATTTTATAATATATGCAATATTATATGCAATGCCTATCCCTTAACAAATTTACTTATGAGTCACATTTATTTTCTGAGTGTGGTATATGTGTACATGTCACTTTTAAAAACTAATTTTCATTTACTGTAATTTCCTTGTCATTTAACTGTAAGTGTACAGAGTGCTTTGTATATTTTAACTGAAATATAGTTTCATATTTTGAAATGTATCAATTATGTTCCCTAATGCACAGAAGTTATTTATAATTTTTATGGTATTATATGTCAGTTCCTCAGCCTGTTAGCATATTGGATGCTGCCATCTTCATTGCTTTGGAGGAGGGAAATCTATATCCAGAGTTCTTCAAAGTGTCTGTGCATGACCACTCTGGTAGCCCATGTGGTAGCAGAGGGAAATCTATACCCAGAATTCCTCAAAAGTGTCTGTGCACGACCACTCTGGTAGCCCATGTGGCAGGATTCTCATATCCCTATCAATTCTTACAGAGACATAGGGCAAATAAGCACCTGCCCACTGAAAGCTCTGAGCTTTTATGAAGCCTCTAGACTAGGCCAACTGCTCCCAATCATGCCAACAGCTCACTCTAGGTGAACTTTCACTAGTCCACAAGTTTTAAAAGGTGATGTGTGGTATCAGGGGAAGGAGAGACAAAAGCCGGTAATAAACAGAAAAATGCAATCCAAGCACATCATATGTGTATATAAAAATATCAACCAAACTCATTATTCTATAGTTACTACACACTAATTTCTAGGAAGGCAATACATCACTTAGATTAGCAGTACACATACTAAAACCAGATCAGTATAGAGAATTAGCACAGCCATTGTACAAAGATGACACACAAACGTGTAAAGGGGTGAACAGCTGGAGGAAATCTGAGTTAAAAAAAAAATCAATGGATTATGATATTTGCAAAATGTTACAACTAGGGGAAACCAAAGTACACATTGTATGTGACTCTATACTTCTATAGGGTTAGATCACATACGATATGCCAACAGATAATCATATAATGTATACAGAATATATATGTAATTTGATTACATGAGTAACATCAATTAAGAAACATGACACAGGTGCACTCACATACATGCAGGCAATACACTCATACACATAAATAATAAAAATATTAAAAAAAAAAAACCACCTATAGCTAGGTAGGTACAATGTATAAGGATCATGTATGACTGAGACCTCAAATCCCATTCTAAAGGTTTTTACAAGTGTTTACTTTACCTATTATACTAATCTATAAAATATAGGAAATGAGATATAAAACATCCACTAGGACCAGTGACTGAGTAAACAGACCAAAAAGATAAGAAAAGACAGTAACAACACACTAACATTTCACACAAGATCTGAGAGCTTGTTACAATCTTTTTCATCCTCATATAGATGGCAAAGTAAAAGCAGTTATGTAGAAGCAATGGTCCTGCATTCATCCCCAATTAAATCACTAAGCCAAACGTAACAGGAAAATATTTTAATGACATTTCTACAGCACAAAATAAAGACCGGGAGAAGTGAGGTAATGCACACGACCCTGCCACACTGCCTTGATGCCCGCGGGCACCACTGCATGCTGAGAACAAGCAGGCACCCACCAGCAGCCTTCTCCCACGGCTCCTCTTCAAGGCACGGTCTGGATGCCATGTCCAGAGAGGTCCCTGTCAGGCTCTCCTCCTGACTTGTCATAAACATGCGGAGACTTGCAGCCACCTCTGCAGGTCTAGAAGATGGTCCCCCAGTCTGAAGGCTCACTTAATGTTCTCAGCGCCTTTCAGACTGGACTTCTGGTTTCTTCTTTCCTTCTGACCCTGAATCCGGAAGAGCTTCTTCCTGAGGTCCTTTTGCCGCCGCAACTTCCCCTCCTCCTCCTTCTGCTTCACCTTGGCGTGCTCCATGTTGTGCAGGTGCCTCTGAGCTTTGGCCTTCTTCATCTTCTGACTGTGTACTGTGCTCAGAGCATCTAGCAGAGCCAGGATCTGACAAGGACAAACACAGTGAGCACCAGATCATTATAGAAGTCTCAGCTTGCCTGCTACCTACATACCGGGGCCTTACCACGTGAGTTGATGGTCTCAAAATGAGATTCAATCCCAGGCGAATGTTAATCTAGCGAAAACTTATCCTGCTCTACGAATCACAGTTTGCAGGGGGATGCAAATATTAGTGATTTACCTTTACAAGACCACCTGCATGTGTCACATGCAAGACACCATGTACAGTGGGCTATGTGGTTCACCAGCTGAGTGCCAGTTACTTCCTATTCAAATACGTAAGGTGGACTATGACTAACCAAGGATGCAAAAATGGAATCCGTTCCTTCTTCCAACTTCCAGGTCTAGGGCCTTGCTTACATTATTCTTGCCCATGAAGTCTCAACACAGTAGAAAGGGCAGAGGGGGTAGCTGTGCTACTAAAGCACAGCTGCCACATCGAAATGCAATGGGCAATAAGCCACCTCCTGACCGTACCTTTCTCTCATGAGGTTCCCGTATGACGGCCGGTCTCTGCCTGTCCCTCGGCACCTTGCCTGCCTTTGCTTGCATCTTGGGCTTGTTCTTAAATGGTAGAGCCTTCTGCAAAGCTTTTGGAATGTGCAGTGAATTAAAATGCTTCTTTTGCCTCAAGATTGGCTGAAAAGAAAAAAAAACAGACTATGGGATATTTAAAGCATAACCTAAATGTATGCAAAACTGTTATGTAACATCTTCTCGGGTGACAAACAGAATCAAGAGTTAATCATCCATATACATGAACTGCCTCAATGGGCACTGCACAAGAGCCTATACATATTCAGTTCCAGGAAACCAACCAGGCCCACTTCAACAGGGAGGAGCTCTGGGTCCGCAACAGAACAGAGGGACAGATTCCAAGTTTGTTTTCTTTATCTTTGGAAAATTGGGGTGATATTCTTTTAGCCTTCTAAGAATAATCTAGTCTCTCATTTGAGTATCAGCCTCTCTTCCCCAGAAGCCAAAGATATTTAGCTTTGATTCTGATAGAAGGATGGCAGAAAAAGGTTTAATCAGCACAAAGACACATTCTATTATAATTTCCAAAGCAATGTTCTTTTTAAAAAATATTTTATTTATTATTTTTATTTTATGTGTATGTGTTTATTGCCTGCATGTAAGTGCACCCGTGTCGTGCAATGCCCGCAGAGGACGGAAGAGGCTGTCAGATCCCCTGGAACTGGAGTTACAGACAGTTGTTAGCTGCCACGTGGGTGCTGGGATTCAAACCCAGGTCTTCTGCAAGAACAGCCAGTGTTCTTAACCACTGATCCATCTCTCCAGCCCCCGCCCCCCAAGGCAATGTCTTACATTCAAATTTAGCGTGATCAAAATATTTAACAGCTTCAAAAATATTACCACCAAACTGAAAGTTCTGCCCGAGGAAGCCAAATGTCAACATCAGTAGACCATTTCTGCTGTGCTTTTAAATGTATTTCTGCAGACATCACCTACAATGTTCAAAAGTCTCAGCCATGGAACTCAAACTTAGATCTAAAGGACTCAGATAAATCTTCTTCTCCAAAACAGTCTGCATAAAAGACACCATGCCCTCACTATGTTCAATAAAAACTTAGGTGAGAGGAGCCACGCTTTTATTATCAGGCATATGATAGCACAACTAATGCCTGGGGACCATTTGTAGCAGAAGGGCAGGCTGATATCCTGAACTGCCTCTTAGCACCAACAACTGCATATCCCAGAGCAAAACAATTTTTTTCAAATACACTGTTAAACCGTGAATAACAAAAATACTCAGAGACCACATTTACTTAAGGATTTCAGACAGCTACTAAACATTTAATATTTATGTGTAGAAGTGTTTTGCCTGCATGTATGGTAAGTGTACCATGTGCACGTAATGCCCATGGAGGCCAGAAAAGGGTTTTGGATTCCCTGAAACTGGAGTTAAGGATGGCTGTTAGCTGCCATGTGAGTCCTGAGAACTGAACCTGGGTCCTCTGCAAGAGCAGCCAATGATCTTAACCACTGAGTCATCTCTCCAGCCCCCAGAAATAAATCTTTACATATAAATACGAATAAAAAGGCACATGGTGTAGTTGAATAGATTTTTAAAAAGCAAGATCCAATTATAAGCTGCCTAGACAACAAATTTTGGCTTCAGGACATCTGAGTTAAAAGGGAAGGGCTAGAAGAAGACAGTCAAAGCCGACAGTAACCAAAAAGGAAGTGGAGGCAGCTGCACGGACATCTGGTAAAATACACAAATCAAAACTCTTACCAGTTATTATTGGATGATAAAGGGATAACTATGGGGACATAACTGTAGATATGCATCTGCACCCAACTTATATGCACTTAAATATAAGAAGCACATATTAATGGACAAGAAGGATAGTCAACTCTAAACAGATCAAAGACCTTAATTTAAGACCTTTCACTCTGAAACTGCTAGAGGAAACACTTCAGCAGGCAAACACTTCAAGGTACAGGCACAGGTAAGCACTTTGACTATAACTCCAGTCACTCAGGAAATAAGGCCAACAACTGAAAAATGGTACCCCGTGAAACTGGTATAACAAAGGAAACAGTTAACTAAACTGTAGGAATCAAAACAGTATGGTATTGGAAGAAAAACAGAAACACAGATTACTATCGAAGGGAGAACCCAGAAATAACTCCAAACATACATGGCCAACAAATTTTCAATTAAGGAAAATCAAGAGGACATGGTAGGATGGTCTTGTCAGTAAACACTGCTAGAAAACCGTATCTCCAATGGGAAACTATGGAAGTGAACTCTGATTACAGCATATGCTAAAATCAACTCAAAGGCTCTGAACAAACGTTTTTCCAAAGAAGGCATAAAAATGGCTGAAGGTCACAGGGAAGCACAGGGCAAAAGATACAAAACGGGAGAAACGTAGGATGAGTGGAGAACATGCGAACTACAGTTAACATAGTTTTTTTTTTTTTTTTTTGGTCGAGACAGGGTCTCCCTGTAGCTCTAAATTCACCTGTGGCCTGAAACTCACTATATAGACCAGGCTGGCCTTGAATTCAGAGACTTGCCTGTCTCTGCCTCCTGAGGGCTGGGATTAAAGATGTGCACCACCACGCCCAGCTAACATAAATGTTTTTACTGATTTTAAGTAGATTTTAACTTGTTCTACACACACACACACACACACACACACACACACACACACACACACACGCACGCACGCGCTGATATACTCGCTGTTTCATCATACAGCCACTTTACTATCTATATGCACCCCATAATGTCATGTAGAACCCTCAAGCATATACCTGACTTTACAAACTGTCCTAAATCTCTTTTCCACTTCTGAGAAAAGCACTGTCATCGTTCTTCTGCTCCTTTCCGCAACAGCACAGAGATGTGCAACTGTCCAAGATAATTAACACCAGACTTTATACGTCAAAGTTCAAGACATCACAAGGTTGGTGGGCTTGGCTCAGGCACAGAACATTGCTTAGCATATATAAGGCCTTGGGAATCAACCCGTACTATCGCAAAAACAAAACAAAGCAAAAGACATTATACATAAAAGCTCTGTGTGATGCTGTCTAGAAAACATGTGCCATCTTCCCCGACACACATGACCTTTACCTTATACAAAGAATCCTTGTTTGGCTTTAGCTTGATGCCGTGGGCGAGCCTGAGTTGACCTGTTGTCCGCATTCCTGACCAGGTGTCTTTCTCACCCACTGGTTTCAACAAAGATGTTACCGGGTTATAGAAGGCCGGAATGGAGACGGGGTACCAAGTTCGCATGAAGACAATGTCTGGAGGAGAGACTTACTTTAACATTTTCCAAAGATTTGTACCCATCTCAAGAAACACCCCTAAGCCTCCCCCACCCCAATGTCTCTACCTGTTTCAGAGCATTTGAAGAGAGCACACCAACTAAACTACTCTCAAATACCACATCTGGCTGTGAACATAGCAGATACAGACACAATGTGAATCAGCTCACACAACACACTCCAACTGGACAGGGCTGGAGCGAACTGAGCTTCTGGAGACCCAAACACTCTCCAATCAACATGAGCTAGAAGTCAATAATAAACAGCAGCACAGCGTTTGAACATCCCACAAAGAATTCTTACCACTCATCAGCAACTTGTCCTCAAAGCTGGCCCGGAAGGCTCCTTCTGGAGCCCGGAGTGCCTTCTTGATCTGTCCCCTTATTCCACTGACAGTCCGAAGGACAGCACCTTCAAACTTGGCTACTTCCAAGGCAGAATTAAACATTCCCTATGGGCAAATGAAAATAAAAACACATACACATAAAATCATATACTTTACCTCCTGCATCACTGGTTAAAAACCAGAAGCCAATTGACTGTAAGTGCAATTACTAACATCCAAAAGCATACTACTCAATTTTATTGTCTCAGGTATTCAAGACTTTACCAGGAGCTCATCAGCAAACTTATCAGTAGTATCTTTGGAGAAGAACACAGGGCTATTTATTGGTCTATGTGGCCTTTCCTGGCATCCTGTAGGCTTGACTGTAGATCATATACCATTACTTAACCAACACACTTGAACAGTTCACTATCATCTTTTCTGCAGTGCTGGGAATCAAACCCAGGGCTTTACAGCTCATCACTGAGCGCCACCTCCAGTCCTTAGGATCTTAACTCTTTTCTTTTCTAGTCACAAATACAGTGTTACTGACGGTGTTTGGTGATTTTGATAGTACAAAGGAAGACGCTTGTGTTTGGTTGTCATGAGCCTGAGGACATGCGTATCTCTAAATGCGCTGCCCTTCATCACCAAGTCACCAACTGCCTTAAGTTTCCCTGCCCTCTACAGCACAGGAATTCCTAAAATAGGGCCGAAAAACCAAAATCCAGATAAAAAATTTCTCTTCAAATATTAAGAACATACAAAGTATATTAAAGACTTGTAGGGGCTAGAGAGATGACTCAGCGGTTAAGAGCACTGGCTGCACTTGCAGAGGACCTGGGTTCGATTCCCAGCACCCACATGGCAGCTAACAACCATCCATAACTCCAGTTCCAGGGGAATCCAACGCCGCCTTCTTTTTTTAAAAAACATTTTATTATTTTTATTTTATGAATATGCATGTATTGCCTGCATGTAGGTAAGTGCACCTGTTTCGTGCAATGCCCACGGAGGACAGAAGAGGCTGTTGGATCCCCTGGAACTGGAGTTACGGATAGTTGTTAGCTGCCATGTGGGTGCTGGGAATCGAACCCAGGTCCTCTGCAAGTGCAGCCAGTGCTCTTAACCGCTGAGTCATCTCTCTAGCCCCTACAAGTCTTTAATATACTTTGTATGTTCTTAATATTTGAAGAGAAATTTTTTATCTGGATTTTGCCATGTGGGTGCTGAGATTCGAACCCAGGTCTTCTCCAAGAACAGTGTCCTTAATCACTGAGCCATCTCTCCAGCTCCCAATGCCCTCTTCTGACCTCCGCAGGCACTGCATGACATGGGTGCTCTAACATACATCTAAGCAATACATTCATACACATCAAATAAAAATAATATGTAAAAAGATTAAAATATAAGAAAAGGATTTGCACATTTAGTCTTCTAGATATCAAAACAGACATCTGATAGTTTGGTTTCTTGGTTTTACTTATTGATATTTATACAGAGACCAGGTGCCACTGATCCCTCCAGTAGAGTCTCCATGGAATTAGAAGACAGGAGAACAGGACAGAGCACCATTTGGCCACCATGAGACTTCTCTAGAGGGAGTTTTCTTCTGCGTGGCTCAGGCGCTGTTTGCTTACTTAGCATCTCCCTTGCAGTACAGCTAAGTATGGGCTGGTTGGTGTTTAAGTGCATTGCTGGATAGCAAAGAATGGGCAGCCTTTCTGTCCAGGGCAAGTGTTCAAAGGAGCTGAATGCAAAGTCTTGCAGCGTTTGGTATTTATCAGCTGTTCTTCCGTGAACTTCAAGCTGGAAATGGAGTTCTGATTCCGAATGTCTGTCCTTACGGCTGGGGTTTGTTTTTGTTTTTGTGTATTACGTTAGAAAATGTGGTATAGGATGGAGAATTTAGAAGGGGAATGAATGCTATGCCAAACACACAGTACAGCAACTTTGAGAAATTTTACTGCTTGGTTGGCGCTTGGTAGTAGTTTTGTCAGTAAATAATACTCAACAATTATAACAGGCATATAGAATTGCAAATTTATATTCTAAGACATAACTGCATATTGTATTTTTAGTTTGAGAAGTCTATCAGTTTAGTTATTAAATACTTAAAAAAAAAATTTTTTTAACTTCCCAGACTGATTTTACTTTCTAGAATTTCAATTAGGTGTTTTACATGTTTTACAGGGCACAGGAGAAGGTGCACTGGGGCTGTAGAAGAGTAATAGAAAAATGATGGAAAACCCCTTGGTGCTGGGAATGGGAGAGGTCAAACGTCAGGTAGGGCCTGGATGCCCAGGAGCACCTGTAGCGTAAAGACCACAGCTGGCCATCATGGGAGGCGGGAAATCCATTCTAGAGAATCAGTCCTCACAAGACTAGAACTGTCCTCTGTCCCCAGCATAAGCCTAATACAGAGGCAAAGTCACGGCCATGCACAACCTGGGACCTCGGGGGAGAGGGCTGGAGGGAATGCAGTGGCTCGGAGCACGCTGAAATTGCTGCCAAATATTGGGAAGTACATTATCCTCTGCTCCACCACCAGAGGGGTGTGAAATTGTGGCTCAAAGGAGGGAACCAAAGATCCAGCTCACAGGAGTGGATCACAGTGCCTGTTTTTATGCCCTGTTTGATCAAAAGCATGGCATGTGGAGGAGGTAAAGACCGCATAAGAAGTCTCCAAGAGCAACCCCACAGTGGGCTACATGTGCACCCAAGTTTGACCAGCACAGATGTACTTGAAAGCTTGTGGATCAAGGAAGTGGGAAATTTACTTGGATGACTCTGCTGCGGGGAGGACCTGGCAGCAGCACTCATGAGCACACGGACTCCTGCTGCTTTCTCAAGACACTTCATGGAAATCTAAAGGAGATAGTCCTTGCCTGGCCTGACAAAAATCCAATGAGATGACCAACAAGTCTGAAACAACTTTGAGGAAAAAGAGGTGTGCACACATGACTCCACTGGACTCCACCGAGGAGATCAGCCACACAGAGCCTGGCCTGAGCCTTCCCTTGCACAGTCCATCTTCTGACACATGCTATGCCTTTAACTCTGGTTTTTTTGAGCCTGGGTCTCCCTATAGCTCTAGAACTCACCATGTAGATCAGGCTGGCCTCAATGTCAGAGGTCCACCTGCCTCTGCCTCCTGAGTGCTGGAATTAAAGGCGTGCACCACCATGCCTGGTCTAATACCACATAAATGGCTGTAATTACTCCATGGACAAAACAGATTCTAAGATATTGATGGGTTAAGTTTGATTTTTTTTTGTCTTTTTGAGACAGGGTCTCCCTGTAGCCCCAGCTGCCCTGGAACTCACTATGTAGACCAGGCTGGCCTCGAACTCACAAAGATCCACCTGCCTCTGCCTCCCAAGTGCTGGGATTAAAGGCGTGAGCGACCACACCCAGCCCAATACTATATTTTTAATGGAGGTTCTTTTCCCATTTAACTTTCAACAAATGCTCCTCAAACTACTCTCTCTAATATTGTAAAACTGCATGTCCAGTTCCCTGAAATCTTGATGAGTTTGTAGCAAACTGCTTTGTCTATTTTTCTACTGAACTACTAGATAAATTTAGGATTTTCTTCCATACTAACCCAACCTTGAAGTGGGAAACCAACCTAGTAGATGGAAGTACATATTTTCATTACTAGTTCTGTGAGGGTCTCACACACAAGTAATAGCTTCCATTATCAAGTATCTCTGACCTCACCTGCAGATTGCTGAAGATATTTAAGTGTAATACGGTATAAATATAATAATCAATATAAAGGAGAAAACTATTCGGGTGAGGTAGAGCACACCTTTAATCCCAGCACTCAGGATGGAGAGACAGAAAGATTTCTGTGAGATCAAGGCCAGCCTGATCTACATAGTGAGTTGCAGGCCAGCTGTGGCTACAGGGAGACCCTGTCTCAAAAGAAAAAAGAAAAAAAAAGATTAAAAAAAAGGAGAAAACTAACCTATGAAAGGTCAAGATTTCAAATATTTTTCTGGAGCCAGAGCTGGCTCAGTGGTTAAAGCACTGGCTGCTCCTGCAGAGGACCCATGTTCAAGTCCCAGGCACCCACATGGTGACTAATAAGCACCTGTAACTCCAGTTCTAGGGCAATCGGACTCCCTCTTCTGAGTTCCTCAGGCACTGCACAACACGGGTGCACTTAGATACATGCAGGTGATATATTCATACACATAAAATAAAAATACTGTATAAAATGACCTTCAGGCCATTTGAACATATATATGCAACATAAATGGATTTTGTGTCAAGACCTTAGAGAGTCCATTCCAAAGATATCTGAAACACTGTCAGCTCTAAGCACTTTAGATAAAGGGTCCCTGGGCTTGTACTGTGACTCTTCCTTTAACAACACACACATATAAGAATGTGTGAGCATATGGATACACAGACCTTAATAAATGAAGTATTCTTGAAAATTTTAAAAGGAAAACCAGTCAGCTTTAACTTCTTCACAATTCTTATGGATTTATCCAGATCGAGGACAACACCAGTGGCAGCTATCCGAAACTCCGGCTGAAAGAAACCCCGAGATGGAATTAGGAATGAGAGCAGAACAGCTGCAGATCTCGGTGATGCACCACTCACCAAAGCTCTTTGCCTTTCCTTTCCAGTCAGCTATGAAGGACAGAAGTTTATTTATGTGCTTACTATGTATTTACTTTTGGTAGACAGGGTTTCATGCAGCCTGGTCTCACTAAGTAGCAGAGAATGCCCTATAAACCCTGATCTTCCTGCCTCCACCTCCCAAGGACTGGCACCACATGGCCCTACACCAGAACTTTAACAGCTGTAATACTGGTATACTAAGCTGCTGCTGCTGACTTGAGTATTTTCCTGAGAGTAACTTCAGAGTAACAGTTTTATAGTTAACAATCCATTTGGACCAAAAGGAAAGGGCAAATTTAGTTGCAATATTTAAAAAATTACTTTATGGGTTACTGGAGAGGTGGCTCTGCAGTAAGAGCACTGGCTGTTATTGCAGAGGACACAGGTTTGGTTCCTAGCACCCAAATGGCGGCTCACAACCTTCTTTAACTCCAGTTCCAGGAGATCTGACACCCTTCTCTGACCTCCATGAGCACTGCATGCACAGGTGAACTTACATGCAGGCAAAACACTGATACACATAAATGAAAAATAAATCTTAAAAATTTTTTAATTTTCATTTGTGAGAAGGGGACAACAAAGCTTGCGCTGACCAAACCAAGTCAACCGTGAACATACTTTATCATGTCCAGCGGCTTACAATGCATCTCAAAATTCAGTATAATATTGATATGTGGGTACTGAGTACTGCTTAATACCTTCTAAAATTAACTCCAAAATAACACTATAAATATAAATACCACCAGTGCTATTTTAATTCTTCTCCCTCTTTCATCCCTCCCAGACTACAAAGGAAAGCCAGGCAGGCTCATACACACAACACTCAGAGGGCTGAGGCAGGGAGATTCTGAATTCTAGGTTAGCCAATGCTATGTACAGAGACCCTGTCTTTCAAAAAAGGAAGGGTGGGAAGGATGCACGAAGATTAAAAGCAAAGAAAAATGCACGAAGTATTACACACTAAAAATGGCTGGTTTTCAACTTAGCTTCATGTATATAGTTCATACTCTGTAGTTCATATGCATATCTATGAAGTAAACACCCCAGATATTCACCATGACATCACTGACAGACTGTATTGCCAAGAACCCAGTTCCTTGTGGAGTGATAGGACCTTAAGGAAAACAGAAAAAAATGCATAGTAAATAAAAAATTTTAGATACTCCAATTCCTTCCCTCAAAAAGATAAATCTTATATAAACTGAGGTTTCACAAAAGAAAAAGAGCAAAACCCTAATGATAAGGCCCACATGGTGCAAGCTGAGCTTGTAAGTTAACTATCAAAATCACATTTTACCCCAAAAGGTTGCTCCACAATGCATGTGCTGTGGGGTGTATTTCAGAAGCCTTTGTCTTCCATTGTGGTCTTCAATGTAATAGAGTGGGATGGTCTGAAACCTCCTCCACCCTACAGAAAAAATAACTGGGTCTCGAGACTTGAGGATTTTCTTATACCAACGATGTTTCTTAAGACGCATCTGGGGAAGATAGAAGTTCGATAAAACAGCGTGTACATCCAAATAACATGTCCCCATGCATGCAGCAAAGGATACCTACCTGCACATAGCCCACATTGCCCTCACTATTGCCCAAACCACCCAGGATAATTGGGTAGTGAGGGTCAAAGTTCAGCACAAATTCACAGGGGATGTTTTCAATCTCAATGCGGACATACATTCCAGGTCGAAAACCCTCATATTGAACTCTGGTTTCATCTTCTTGATCTTCAAATTCAGCCTGGTTAAGCTATAGGTGAGGGGACAAACAAAAGCAAAATAAAACTCCATAATGTCACCACTTTTAACAAACATCAAGATTTGAGTTTTAAAAAATATAAAGGAACCATGACCACAATTATTTATGCTTTACTGTAATACAAAGTTACATCCATTTTACCTCTATGGTTTGTTTAGAACAAGTCCCAGCTGTTTTCTATTGTGCTAAGACACAGCAACTAACTTCCAATGGATCCCTGAATGCTGCTTGACAAATGGTGCCCAGGCCATATCCTAACTTTCCATCCATACATCCATATCTCCCAGCTCACCTTGGTCTTACAAGATCCGAAACATCCTCCCTTATCCTCACTCTTAGCTGATGGCTGTTTCCTATTTCAGTTTAGAAAAGCTTCCAGTCAACTGGTACAGTGTTTATACCCACAGGCAGCCTTTTATTATAGCTCTGCACTGCGGGGTAAGGACAACCTGAATTAAAAACTTTTTTTTTGAGGTCTATGCAGCCCAGGCTAGCCTTGAACTTTAAGTCTTCCTGCCTCAGTCTCGGGTGCATGGCTTACATGTGCACACCACACCACCAGGCCATTAATTAAAATTCAGTAACACTGAAAATATAATTCTTCAGCTGTATTAGTTATCATTATAAGCGGTCAGTACCACTACATGTGCAGGTGGCTCTGCGGGCAGCACGGAAAGCAACTCTGCAGATTACTCAGCAACACTCCCTGCCAAACGTCATCTGCAGGCTAGATGCCCCATACTCTTACTACTGCTCTACTTTTCTGCTTCCCTTTGCACAGAATTCCACATTTCCCACGGCCAGTCAGCCTCTAGACCTTTAGCTCCTATTCTCTTAAAGTCACTAGAATTGGGCTTTTACCTACCACTCCACGAAAATGTTTGCTAACGTCACTGAAGACCTTCCCCGCTCATTTACCAGTGATCAAGTCTCCATTACAGCGAACATGTCAGTAAAGCTTTGAAGTGGTAGTGTTTCTCTCAGCAGCACCTAGCATGCCTCCTGTTCTCTGACATTTCTGTGTCTTGGTTACCCCCTGTTATTCTCCATCTCTGTGCTCACTTTCCCAAGCACTTTCTCTTATGGCTTAGAAGAGTAGCTGCATGATGAGGACGGACATCTAAGTCCCTGATCTGACTTAACACTTGGCTTGTCTGAGTATCACTGCTAACCTGACTGGCTGACCAGAGGATGTTCTGCCCAAGGTTGTTGGCCTTGGGAAGCCACCCTTCCAGGAGCTCGCTGTAGCCTTCAGTCACTCTCACTCCACGTGTAGTGTAGCAGTAAACCCTATTACGCCAGCCTTCAAACAAATGATGTTAACACCTTCTGCTGCCACAACCCCCTACTGAGCAAGCTACCTTAATCTCTGAATCCTATCAAAGAGAAATGCTCACGAATGCCTCTCTGCCGGCCCCACTTCATCAGAGAGGAAACGTCAAAGTTCCTTATGGTGCACAGGTGATTTGAAGTTGTCAATGGTGGAAACAAAGCCTACAGGACTAGCTTTACATTTCTCAGTCACTCTGTCAAAGGTCAGCGCAGACTGGGAACAACCACTAGTTTATGACTGGTCAGGAGACACTTCTCTGCACACGTGCATCTGCTCTGCACTGTTCCCATGTAAGCATACGTGCTCTCAAGTGAGCAGAGGAGAAACTTCTCTGATTCAATGAAGCTCTAGACTGAGCAAAGCCTGCCAACCCCATTTTCACAAATCATATGAAGTTAATTTGTATGTCCCAGTTCTAGGGACTTCTCAGAGCTTCCACCATCAAAGAGCAACTCAAACACTGTCCATGAACTGTGTATCCATCTTTGTATCTGTTTCTGAGCAAGATCACTACAACCAACAGCTCAGTCAGCATGGGCAGGACCCCACGATCTCTCTCTCTGCATACACCCTTTCCACTATGCACCTGACTCCACACGCTACCCTTCTGAACTCTGACCAAAGTATGTTTTCAGAAAACTCTCCTGGAAAGCACTCTGTGTGCATAAGCCACATGGACCACCAATCAGCTTCTTATTCAAATCAGTAAGAAGTGCACTGTCTCAACTCAATCTCTGTGTCAGAAGAGATGCAGCCTAGCATTGCTGCCAGTAGCCTTTCTCCCTTAAGAAAAGAAGTTCAAGATAATCAGAAAGGAGTTAGTGGGTTTACTGATTACTTATATAGAGAGAAAGGAAAAGAAGACCACGCACCCACAGGACATGGGTGTAGACTTCTTTTCAGAGTGTGGACTTCTTGAGACTAAGTCATACTTAGCTATTTTTATAATAGTACATATGTTTTTACACCTTTTAAAGTTATATTTTTCAAAGAATGTACTCTACAACAAGGCATAAAGCTTAAAAATTAAAGAAAGCTTAAGAATTAAATAAAAATATGAGTTGGTTTACCTATTTATCTTAAAGAACTTTCCTTAATGGGCTAAGGAGGTGGTTCAGTGGGTGTGCCTGCTGTGCAAGCTTGAGTACCTGAGTCTGGACCCGTAGAAACCACTTCAAAAATCTGGGCATGGCCATGCATGCCTGCAACCCCAGGAAAGGCAGAGACAGGAGGATTGTCAGGGCTTGCTGGCTACTGCCTAGCTCCAGGTTCTGTGAGATCCTGTCTCAAAAGACTAAGGTGAAAAGCAACAGAGCAGGACATCTCAAGTCCGGTGGTCTCTACTGTGTACACAGAGGCACTCATCACTCGTGAGCATGGATATATGTGTGCGTGCATACACACACACATACACTCACACACACACGGAGGAAAAATTTTCCATTGTAAATGAAATTTTAAGGTGGTTTTATGTATCTAGACAATTTCAGATTTAGAGATGAGAGAGGAATGCTAACACAGTTAAACTTGAGACCACAAACACTCTGGCCTGAAATAAGCAGTTTGCTGCTTTGAAAGCTCTTGTTTGAGCATCTCCAGGAAAACAGGCACTGTTTTTGTAGGTAATTTTGATTTCTCAGTTGGGTTGATGTTTCTTGAGTCAGCTAGAAATGCAAACTAGCCCCCAGGGGGAGGGACTTCTTTCCCTCCCAGATTCCCTTAATTTTTTTCTGTCCTTCTCTCCTTGTCTCAAGAACACAAGCTCCTCAGAACGGAGACTATGTCTCAGCCATTTCTGCTTCCTGACATGCAATGCTTGGTACAAAATAGTACTGACATTTTTCTGGTGAGACAGAAGAGCAACTCAAAGACTGAACAATCATGCCCACATGGACCTCAGCCTAGGGGTTCAGATGGAGACACAGGAGCAGGTCAGGGAGCAGAGACCAGAGCCGGGGTCCCACACTGCCACCACCATGGAAGGAGGTGGAAGAACCCAGTTTCTCACCTGAGCTTGTTTCTGCATTTCCCCTTTAAGATCATCGAAGTATGTGCTCTCTCCTTCATCGTACTCTGCATCAAACAGCTCCTTCAATTTTCTCTTCTTATTCAAATGCTTTTTCTTGGCACTTTCCTCCTCATTAGGGTCGGTTTCCTCCTTAACTTCTTCAGTATCTTCGCTCTTAAATGTCCAAAATAAAAAGCATTAGGAAGTTTATGGAGATCTTTTCTTTAAACAGAGCAATTTTTACAAACGATTCTATCTGACATATAAAAAGTTTTGTTATGATTATCATGAACTCACACAGACTCTGGTGCCTCACAAGCTCTTGCTCCAGGAGACAGCTGACGACATTACACTGAACCGCCACTTCTTTGGCGGGTTGGGAGGCCAAGCATGAATAAAACAGGAACTGTCTCCCCGCCTCCCCCAGACACTCTGAGACACTGTACCATCAGGAAGAAAGAGGGATTGCTTTTTTTTTTCAAATGACAGTTTAAAATTTAATCAGAGAATGATGGCAAAAGTAAGACTCAGGCTAAAATGTCTACGAATGAAAAAAGCCACAAGGAACTTGGTAAATGACTCTGGCAAGATGGGGTAGTAGACACCATCCATCCATATGACTGTATAAACCTTTTATCTGTCCCACACTTCTAGGAAGGAACCACGCATCTGACAGGTAAGTCCAGATGTGCCTTTCTCAGGGCAGATCTCTCGGGATGCTGGCAGTAGACGAGGTTGGTAGGGGCTGCAGCAAAGCCATACCTGAGCATTGGGGCCCGGTTTTCCCTTGTGCACATCTCCTGTTTCTAGGTCTTCGAAGTCACCGTAGAGCTCCTCTGGGAAAGAAGATTTCAGTGTTTACTCTGCAGATGGAGCCTGCCCGTGACTCCAGCAGTTCCCAGCCCCTGGCAGACTGTGTGCTCTGCACTGCAAACCTCACTGCTGTTTCCATCACTGTGCCTGCCGAAACAATCCCGCACTTACTTTTTCCTAGTTGTATTTCAATATTTCTTTGGAAAAGAATGAACCCAATCTACATTTCTAGTCTAGGCAATGGGCACTGCGAAGGTACCTGAAGCCCACAAGGGGAGACCCCAAACCAACATTTCAAACAGACACAACTTGGTAACTGCCCACGTGAGAAAGAGACTGAAGAGCAGACACACGACACAGCATGCACTGCACCCTGGGGCAGTCTTACACTAACTAGAGCTCAAAACCATGCCGAGTCCATAGGAAGAGATCGTTCTCACTTATGAGCCAAAGAGTCTGTGCTACTAACAAGTTACAGGCAAAAAGAGTACACACACGTACGTACACACACACACACACACACACACACACACACACACGGCTGGAGAGATGGCTCAGCAGTTAGAGGTGCCTGCTACCAAGCCTGAGGACCCAAGTTTGATATCCTGCATCAACTTCTGCAAGTTATTCTCTGATCCATACACATGCATGCACACCCACAACAGCACACACACACACAAAATAAAAAATGTTTACAAAACCAGCTTTAACATGTTACCAAGGGACAAAAAGAATAGCAGAATCAGCCATTGCTGATGGCCACAGATGGTCACCACATGCAAGCTTTAGGAAATGGAAAAGATCTCAAACCCATAATATAGGAAAAAAATACTTAAGCAGAACAGAAAAGGTAAAAATATAAAAACAGAAAAAAAAAATCACTGAACAAAAAGTTAGCTATTTTAAAAGAATTAATCTCACTGACAAAGAAAAATATATGTATTTGTTACTTTTGGGTTGTTTGACTTGTTTTTTGAAGTGGGTTCTTTGCAATATGAACAAAGTACAAAATTAAGTGTCACCAAAACTGTGACATGAATTTTGGGATGGCATCTAGAGAGTAAACATAAAAATTTGAAACGATAAAATTCTTAAAGGTAAAATTTACACATACACAATTTTAAATGAATAGGAGGAAATGTGTGAAAATGCTAACAGGTCTTTCATGGGTGGTGGAATTCTATTATGATACATATTTTTACCACAGATACTTTTTAATTCTAAATTTCCTGGCTATTACTTCTTATTAGAATAATTGTATTAAGTACAATTCTCTCTTTCATGTGTGCATGTGCACACACACAAATCTATTTTTAAAAAATTTACGGAAAGTTTCTCACTCTTCTCTAAGGTCCCTAAATAGTGGCTAGGTTAGCTAAGGAGAGAAAACAAGGTCATTTAAAACCAGGATATTACTGTAACTGTCAATTCCCCAAAGTATTTACAGCTGTCTAACTTTCAATTTTCAACCTGACTACAAGTTAAGAAATAAAAAGGCTGGGCTGGGAAATGGCGGTCAGTAAGTGCTGCCCTTACGAGCTCAAAGACCCAAACTCTCTCCTTGGAATCCATGTAAACAAAAGCCAGGGGCTGGTGTGTGCCTGCAGCCCTGCATGCGGAAGGCAGCAATAGGAGGAAGGGGACAGGGGCTGCTGGCCAGTTAGCATAGTGCCTAGTGTATTTGGCAACTTCAAAGCCAATGAAAAACCCTGCCTCAAAACAAAGGGTGGGCAGTACCTGAGGAACACCACCTGAGAAATGACATCCCAGCTGTCCTCTTGCCGCCACATGTATGTTCAGACACATGCAGACAAAGGAAATCTGTAGTCCCTACTTACCGTCTTCTGCTAGGATCTTGGCTGCATCTTTATCTTCTTCCCACTTCCCAGTCACAAAGCAATCTCTGATGCTGTTTACAACCTGCCACAGAAAAATCAGCACTTAACTTGTGCAAAACAAGTAGTTTTGGGCTTTTTTTTGGGGGGGGGTGTCTTTTTGAGACATGGTCTACCTGTAGCCCCAGCTGACCTAGAACTTGCTATATAGAACAGGCTGGGCCCAAACTCAGAGATCTGTCCACCTCCGCCTCCCAACTGCTGGGATTAAAGGCATGCACCACCATGCCGGTCAAATGACTGTTCTGGAGAAATGATAGCAGGCAACAACTTGCCTTAAAAATTTCTCAGGGCTCTTTAACTGGGTGGCACAAGCCTGCAATCTTGAGGCAGATATTCAAGGTCAGCCCAGACTACGTACTGAGACCCAGGCCAGTTTTGGCTAAACAGAGTTAGTCTCAAAAACTTAGTAAGTAAATACATACTTGTATGGATATTTTCATTCCATGTAAGACTGTAAGATCACTTTTGACACTGACAATATAACCATAGACATACAACCTGCCACAACATTAAGCAGTGGATCTATAGAGTACTATTAGCCCACTGACCTTGCAGGTAACCACGTTTTTACTAATCCACTCAACTAATTTTCAAAGTGTATCACTGTTCCAAGACAATGTCAATAGGAGAGAATTTTACAAAGTTGGTCTTGTTACGTGTTAATCCAAATGTACCATGTTTGCATAAAAACTTAATTCCTATAGAATGGCAGGAAAACATTTGCAAATCATGTATCTGAAGGGGCATGTACCCAGAATACATAAAAACTCTTAGGCAAACAGAAGCTGGAGAAATGGCTCAGCAGTTAAGAGCACAAAGTGCTCTTCCAGAGGGACCAGAATTTGATTCTCACAACTACCTATAACTCCAGCTCCAGGGGATCCAACACCTCTGGCCTCTGTGGGCACAGATACATCATATGATTAAAAAGAGAATAAATCTTTTTTAAAAACAGGAGGCAGTATGAACAGATATTTCTTAAAAGCATACATACAAATAGAAATCACCTGCATTGATGCTCAACATCATTAGCTATCAGGGAAATGCAAATCACTACTACCACAACGTGGCATCATTTCCCCTAGAGTGGCTATAGTAAAAGAGACAGATATAAATAACTGTTGGTGAAGATGTAAATAAACTAGAAGCCACAAATAATGCTGGTGGGAATGTAAACTGCACAGCTATTTTTGGAAAAGAGAGGAGGACTACATAAGGGAAAAAACTTTTCACGAATCTCATCAATAGTCACTAACGTGTACTACTACTGACACTGTTCTGTAGGTGACAATGAGATAAGGGAGAAGAGCAGTCATGTGACTACCTTCAGATTCAACCAGGGAATAATTCTCTAGTGGGAAAGTAGTTACAGCTGTAGCTACAATGTATAAAGTTCTGAACATGAAGGAACATCTCTGCATGAATCCTAGCCCTAGCAGCTGGGAAGACCTAGAAACAATAACCAGGTAACATCAAATAAGGACTCCTACACTAAGATTGATACTCAAATACCATTTTCTAAAAGAAATCAGCATGTTTTATGGCTGAGCCCAAATCTGGTGTCAAAAGCATACAAGATGATAATGGATACCCCATATCAGAGAGCAAAGACTCCTTGAAGAATGACTATGTTCATGTCAAAAGAACCTAGGAGCCACGTGAGCCCCTCCCATGGACCCTAGAGGAAAAAGCATGAGCTTGTAAGGGTAACAGGTGCACAGAATGAGACACACTAACAATATTTAAATCCATGACGTTTTAACACAATCACCTTGGAAAATCATTTCTAGAAAGTATTTTGCTGGGCGTGGTCACACATGCTTCTTTAATCCTGGCACTTGAGAGGCAGGCAGATCTCTGTGAGTTCGAGGCCAGCCTGGTCTACATAGTGAGTTCCAGGCCAGCTGGGGCTATAGAGACTGACCCTGTCTCAAAAACACCAAAACAACAACAAACAAATAAACAAAAAAAAGTATTTTTAAAAAATCAAGCCTTTATCCTCCATAACCCAACATTAGTTGATAATAAGTTTCTCTTTATATAATTATTCCAGTTAATAATGATAAATACTTGACTTTCCATTCTATAACCTTAAGAAATTAATGGTCCTATGCCACTGAACACCAACTGCTAATACCAAGTAAAGAGTCAGACTTCATGTGCTTCCTAAAGAAAGGTTCTAGCTGGGTGTGATGGCACACACCTTTAGTCCCAGAACTTGGGAGGCAGAGGCAAGCAGATTTCTGTGAGTTCCAGGCCAGCTGGGGCTGTCTTAAAAAGATCCAAAAAGTTCCACCACCTAGAAAGAAGGAATGCAAAAATTCCTAAAAATTTTAAAAAGGTCATGAATTTGGGGGACCTGTTAGGGAGAGTACAGGGTGGTTACGATCAAAATACATTATATACATGTATGAAATTATCAAAAAATATTACATTTAAAAAAAAATCAAACTTAGCCAAGCATGGTGATACATGCCTTTAAGCCCAGCACCAGGGAGGCAGAGACAGCAGATCTCTGTGAGATTAACAAGACTCCATAGTAAGTTCCAGGCTAGCTATAGCTACAGAGAGACTGTCTCAAAAAAATCAAACTTGCCAGGTGTGGTGGCACAAGCCTTTAATCCCAGCTCTCAGGAGGCAGAGGCAGGCAGATCTCTGAGAGTTTTCGAGGCCAGCCTGGTCTACATAGTGAGTTCCAGGACAGCTGGGGCTACAGGGAGACCCTGTGTCAAAAAAAAAAAAAATCAAACTTAACCCACCAATATCTTAGAATCTGTATGTTTTGTCCATGGAGTAATTACAGCCATTTATGTGTTTATTTAATTTTAGCCTAATTAAGAATAATTAAGATAAAATTACTTCTTCAATCTTGGTAACCACATTAGAAGTGCTCAAAAGCCACAGGCAGCCACACTGAACAGCCCAGACACAGACTATTCCCATCGCCACAGAAACTATATTTAAAGGAAATCCAGAAGAAAGAACCTGGCAAACTGCACACAAGGACACAATGCACCCCACAAAATAAGCCCCCAATATGAGAAACTCTACACATCAAACTCTTGGTTCTTTCAACAAAGCAAGGAGGGAGGGAGGAAGGAAGAGGGAGGGAAAGGGAAGGGGGAAGGGAAGAAGAACGAGAAGGGGATGGGAAAGTAAACCACGTACAGCTAAACTGTGCAGGTTAGTGATGCAAACTTGTGAAGACAAGCCCAGATCACAAGTCTAGATGCAGTTCCACCCACAGAAGAAAGGGCCTGTTACAGCGGTATCACACACAGCACTTCTGGGAAGTCGGGGCCACAGGAATATCCACTTCCTAAAAATTCATGTTTAATCATAAAATTATTTGTGATTTCCTTTATCTGCATTCAATTTTTCACTAAAAGATGTGTAAGCAAAATCTCATAAACATTAAGTGCTAACACAATGAGTTATAAGTAATCTGAGGAGTAACATTAAGCTAAACTGAATGACAAGATATCAGTCTTGGGAAGATAAAAAATTCCCAAAGACAAGTATGGGAATGGGGAGTCTAATGTGGGATTCCACCCTGGCAAGGTTGAGCGTTGAATTAATTCCAGTTTGACTAGAGCCGGGTGAGCCAGGGGAGGAACAGCTGTGTCAAGGAGCAGAAATTATGTGTGCCAATCAAGACACTCTATATGCTAGTTGTAAGACACAAATGTTTCAGATGCATTAAAAACTGATGTGCAATGCTTTAAGTAAAGAGCAATGGTGTCATTCACACTAACAGCAGAACATCTTCCTTTTCTCCACGACACAAGTACACACAGAGCACGCTGCTGCTAAGTGTATAATAAATACACTAAATACATCTGGAGAAATGACTTCTTAGAAAAATAAAGCCAGAGACAAATTAGAGAAATGAAGCCAGTGACAAGCAGGCAATACTGAAGTCAGACAAGGTTCTTCCAGAACAATTCTTCAATTCTGTCATTGCATCTGTATGTGGGGAGGGAATCAGGGGACTGACTTTAGGGTCTCCATATGCTAGGTAAGCACTCTGCCATTGAGCTGTGCCTCTAGCCCCAATTCTTTCATTAGTAAACATACCACTCAGCATCACGTTACCTCCTCTAAATCCCAATCGTGTGGTGCTTCCACGAGAAACCTGGAGCAGTCCAAAGAGTCCGCCTTGTGCTTACACGCTCTACCAGGCTGGCTGACACGGAACAGTCCTCCAAGCTCTTCAGGGGCATCTCCATCTTCTTCTTCATTATCCTCTGTCACTGAAGAGTCACCGAAAAGAAAGGTGAGAATAAAAACCTCAACCCCAAGCCTCCCCGCCCTCAAATGGTTAGACCATACATCTCAGGGTTCAAGGAGCTGTGGGTCCCTGCTCACAGTAAGTATGGTGGTGGGCCAAGAGCCCCCCAAAAAGCCACCACATGATTAGCTGGAGGACTTATCCTCTGGTAAGCAGCAGCAGAGACCACTGAGGAGTGAGAATATTGGAGGCTGGGGAAGGGAAGACATTTAAAGGCAGAACTTTAAATTATTATAGAGGATTTTCTGAAGAGTATTTGGTTCCCCAATGTCCTTGGGCAAAAAATCTAAAAGAAAATCAGCTCATGCCACTCTCCAATTTTGCCATGAAGCAACTGGGAAGCATGACACAAAGCTCGTCACTTTATTTCTGCATTCTATTTCAAAATGAACATAGAAACAGGCTTAATAAACTAAAAACATCAGTGAACAAGGGCAGGAAGGAGAACACAGTACACTACAGGGCCTGCAGTCTCAGAAAGGAAAAAACAAAACATAAAAAAAGAAATAAAAAAAATACATAAAAAACTTTCACAGGTGGAAATACTTTCCTAGCATCAAACTGTACAAAAAAAAAAGTCTCATGAAGGACTTTTAAATAGGGATTATAAAATGACATAATGGACAGTATTCTCGTTAAAACTTCTATGGCAACCCACTAGTCTACTTATGGACCTCATGACATGATTAAAACCATCTGCCAAGGCTAATGAGATGGCTCAGCAGGTGAAGGTGTTTGCCACGCAAGCCTGATGACCTGAGTTTGATCCCTAAAATCCATGAAAAGGTAGTAGAAAACTGACTCCATAAAATTCTTCACCAACCTCCACACCTTGGCAATGTCCTCCCCACTCCCATTATGCACATACACACACACCATCAATTTTTTAAAACACTTTAAATCTGTTAAAAAAAAAAAAAATTCTACCAATATAAAATCTGGCAGCACAAGCCCAATCTCCAGCCACTCACTCATTTCCTTTTCAGAAAGCGATCCACAAACCTAAACACTTCTAGTTCTGAAGCAGAGGTCTTTACCTGTCCCATAAATCAGCTTTCGCAGGTTTGGCGTGGCCTGCTGCTGCCTAAGAAAGGCCTCTGCCGCCTTCCTGGAGAGGTCATCCTTCCACTTGAGGGCACCTGGAAGACAACACCAGTCACACCTGCTCACCTGTCCTCCCTGCCACAAGCCCCAAAGCTCATCCATCCTAAGACCCCATCATATCACATTTAAGTAGTTAGCAAATCCCCAAACATCCCCATAGCAACAGTTCGCATGCCAAATGTATATAACCAGCTACTTCGATTTAAGCATGCCTAGCCTTTCCGTAGCACATTTACCAGACGTTTCTGTGGGGCAGCTTTCTTCCTCGTGATCCTCTTCCTCTTTGAGTAAATCTTCAATGTCACTGGTCTCATCAACGAAGTTCTCTGACTCTGGTTTCTGCCCACTGTCCCCCAGAGGCTTGGCAAGCTTCGTCCTAACAGCCTCTCTGCTTTCCGAGTCTTCATCCTCTGAGCTGAGTGAGCTTTCCTCAGATTCGTCTTCAGATGGAAACGCCTCCTCAGCTGTGCAATGGCCAGAATCAGAGGTGGTGAGGGCAGCTTTTCCCCCTGGAGAAGACTTCTCTACTTCCTGGTCAGCACTCCAATCATGAGCTGGTGACAGTCTTGCTTCACCATCTCCTCCAGGAGATTTGGATTCCAAAACGTCCCTCCCTCCTGCAGGGGAGTCTTCGTCTTCATCTTCGTCCTCGTCCTCGTCCTCATCCTCATCCTCATCCTCACTGCTTCCGTCAGCATCCTCTGCCTCCCCGTCGTCCCCCGAGCTCCTCTCCAGATCATCGTCGCTATCCGCAAATGCTGGCACATCCACCTCACTGTCTTCTTTCTGCTCCTCAAGCTTCTGCCTTTTACTACGCTTAGACCTGGTGATGTTAGCATCTTCCTCTTCCGTCTAATCATCACTAGAGCCACTTTCCATCCTGTCATCTTCAGACATGTCTTCATCATCATCATTTTCTTCATCTCCAGACACATCTACCTTATCTCCAAAAACGGCTTTCCGACGCACTCGACCAGTTTTCACATCCACTTGCTTTTCTTCTTTTGGCATCCACAGCCTGTATCCAAAAAAATGCAAACTGGTTCAACTTGTACAGTGATTAGCTTAATCTAGAAATGGCAATCCAATCAATAAGGCAAAGAAATGGGACGCTGGGACAGAGGATCTAAAAAGTTCTAGGCCTGCCTAGGCTACACAGTGAGTTCAAGACTACCTGGGCAACTTAGCGAAACCCTGTACCTCAATTAAAAAGAAAGGACTGGGAATACAGTTGAGTCATAGAGCCTGCCTAGCACGTGCAAGACTCTTAGTCCAATCACTAGGACCACTATAAAACACCATCACATTCTTTAAAATGACCCAGCAAAGAAAAACGGTCTGACAAACACTGAATAGTTAATAAGCCAATTCATGCCCTATCACTTGTAAAGCACTTACAGAGAGAAAAGACTTTTTATAAAATGTAAGCCTAGATTATCCTATTGTGTCAGAAAGTGACATCCACATGCCTAAAGGAATGTGTGTAAAGGGGAAAAGACTGAGCACTCTAACGGGCACATCTGGGAAAATGTAGGCATCAAGAAAAAAATGACAGTAACACAAAGAATAGAGCTGCGTGTGGTGACGAACACCTTTAAACCCAGAACTCTGTAGGCAGAGAAACTGAGTTTCAGGCCAGCCTGGTCTACATAGTGAGTTCTAGGCCAGTTAGGGGTACAGAGAGAACCTGTCTCAAAACTCTCCCTGCCCCTCCAAAAGAGTAAAACACAAGTCCATTAGTAGTCAGCAATGAGACAGCAATAAAGTAGGCGGTGAAACGTGGTTTTTAAAGAACGTCAGCTGGCCATGTGGGTGTTGCTAGTATTGCAGAATTCAATGATGTCCCTTCCACATAGGGGCTGGACTCTTTAAAGTCCCTGTATAACTTAGGCAAGTCTGGGCCTCTGGCTAATCTGAAGACAGACAAGGTGTAAGCTTTGAAAACCCACCTGAATCCAGAAGAAATAAAATAAGAATCAGGATGAAAATCAAAACTGAATTCTTCTGTGATAAGACCAAAATACAAATTAACAGTGAGGAGCAAGGAGAGAGGTCTGTCACCAGCTGGTCTGTCACCAAACTGAGAAGGTGGAGGTGCAAGACAGTCCCTAGGAAGCCTGACTTCCAGCAGGATCATTCCAAGATAAGAACAAGTGATCCTGCTGCGTTCTGAAATCAGGAAGAACAGGAAAACAGACCTAAGAACTACCACAAAGTTTCATCTCAGCCAGATACGACAAGAATGCAGTTTCCCCCAAAAAAGTGAAATAAACAACAATGAAGTGTCAAAGGAGCCTTCAGAAAAAAAGATTTCTGTACACAGATGGGTTTTCTAAACGAGAAAATAAGAGAACGGCAGCCAGCCACAACTCCAACTTTCAGAGGCTTCATGAGGCTGGTTTTAAGAAAATGGAATCCACTGGTGAACATGTGGTGAGAAAGAAAGAAACGCTTTAAAGAGCGCAACAACTCAAAGAACTAAAGCAGCAGCTCGGCAAAGAGAGGGGTGGGGACTCCAGTTTCGCTCAGAGGAGATACCGTGCCTTGTGCTCCACCAGCCAACAGTGAGAGCTCAGTCCCACAGAGCTTGAAGTCCCAGCACTGTGTCTGAAGAGGTCAGGTAAGCACTCTGCTCTCAGCAACTAAAGCCAATGTCAACTTTTTAGCTGTTCCTAAAAAGAACAAGCTTAGATGCTCACTGAGCAAGACTGCAACCCAAGTCTCCACACGAGCCTACCTGGGAATCCCTCAAAAGGCCACTCAAGTTAAAGACCACTGAGAACAATCTGATGCTGGCAAAGGAAGAAACAAATGTTCTGCTCCTGTAAACCTGTAACTTCCTAAAATTAAGCATACATCTTTGCCTAAAGCCTCTCCATATTTATAAAGTCAAAATGAAAAAGATAGAAAGAATGAATGCCACCTGGCGCTGGGAGGGCTGGTGCTTATCCCAGCACTTTCAAGGGTAGGAGGATCAAGAGTTCAAGGGAAGACTGGGCAACACAGCAAGTTCAATGCCAGATGAAAGTAAATACCAAGCCCCTGTCTCAAATAAAAAGGACCAGAGAGAGATCAGTGCTAGACTGTTTGGCTAGTCATGTGCAAGGCCCTGCCTGATTTGATCCTCAGCACCACACAGGAAAAGAATGTCTGCTAACAAATGTGAAAAAAATGACAGATTGAGAATGTTGCCATTTTGAAGTCACTAAAGCCATTAACTGGTATAGAATCACTGAGATGCTAAACCCATGGGATAAACTGAAAGCTACACAGAGCTATTCAATGTAGTGCTGCATATACAATTATGAAACTATCAATTACAAAAAACTAAAAGGTGTGCCATAAGAGAATTCATAAGCCAATACATCAGCAATGACAAAATGACTATATAAAGAATAGACAGAAAAGGTAAATGCTCAGAGTATTTAAATAAAGTTTAGGTATTTGAGATTTAGCTCAGAGGTAGACAGACCACTTGCCTAGCAATTTAGTGTAAGGCCTTGGGCTCCTCAGTCCTCAGCAGATGGGGGGGGGGTGGAGGAAAGAGTTTAATTGTATTAAGCTGTATGCTTCTATGTACACAGATTGATTAAAATAGAAAAAAAGAAAAAAACAACTACCTAATATGGTAATGGTGTTTTCATCACGACCTTTCCATGATACATTATAACAAGTTCTATTCTCCATCATCTCTATTATTTTCAGAAGGATCATGAGGCATGAATCAACAGAACAAAAATCAAGGCTTACCAAGTACCCACTAAGTACAAAAGTATACAAGCACCCAAGCTTCCAATCCAGACTGAAAAAGAAGATATCCGTTACTGGACAACTGATGCCCATGGAGCTAAAGCAATCTAAAAGAAACAGAGACAAGCGATGTGGCTTTGGACAGACATGCATAGGCATCTAGACACTGCCCTACAATTTTGGCCACCAAAAGATAGCCAAGTGGCCTGAGGTCTCCTAGAGAACTCAAGAAACCCATGGCAAACATTTAGTAGCATTGGAGAATATTCTGAACACGTCTGTTGAAAACAAAGTCATGTTTTTCTTTGAGAAAATACTACCATGTGATGTTATTTAAGTGAAAAAACACCAAGAGATATATGAATATACACAGCAAAACAAAAAACCAGAGTTGAATCTACCAAAATAAAAAGTGTTATGATGACAGAATGACAGACGGGTGATATAATTTTCATTGTACCTTTTTAAAATTAAAAATTAGAAAAGTGCCAGCGAGGTGGCTCAGTGGGTGAGGTGCTTGCTGCCAGCCTGATGACCCGAGTTCAATTCCTGGGGCCCACATGGTAAAAGGAGAACTGACTCCTATAAGCTGTCCTCTGACCGCCACATACACGCTGTGGCACATGCATTCCCTCCAACACACAATAAATATAAGAATTTTTAAACAAAAAAATAAGAAGAGAGGTAGACTTACCCCTGATTATCTATATCCTCTGACCCCAAAGGTTTGGAATCAGAAAAGAGCGTCACTCTGCTTGAAGCCATCTTGGCATCGATGCTGGCATGAGTGGAGATGAGGCTCTGGACCAGTTCATGGGTGGGTCCCTTTTCCTCCTGTCAAGGCCACCGAAGGGCAAGTAAGGAAAGCACAAGGATTTGGGGGAGATGTACTGGTTTCACCATTTCCCAAAATTACTCTAAACTGGACTGGAGAGATGGATGGCTCAGTGGTTAAGAGCATGTACTGGTCTTGTACACCCAGGTTCAGTTCCCAGCACCCATATCAGGCAGCTCACAACCACCTCTAACTCCAGGTCCAGGGAGAACTCTGGCCACTTTGGGCACCCACA